ACAACAACAACCAAACAAGCAAAATAACACACAAAATATACAAAACAAAAATCAAATAAACGAGAAAATAAACACCCAATCAAACAAACAAGCAAAATAAGCAAACAAGGAAACACAACCTGACAAAATCAGGCAAATAAAACACGAAAACAAACAAAACAAACAAGCTAGCCGCAACCTGAAAAAACAAGCATATAAACACCCAAACAAGCAATCAAAACAAGCAAACAGGGAAACACTACCTGGCAAAAACAGGCAAATAAAACAAAGAAACATAAATCAAGCAAACAAGCCAACCGCAACCTAAAAAAAACAAGCAAATAAACACCCAAATAAACAAACACATAAGACAGGCAAACAAGGAAACACCACCTGGCAAAAGCCTGCCTAAAAAACAACAGGCAAATAAAGCACAAAAAAACAGAGGAGCAAAACAAAACAAGCAAACCAACCAACCACAACCTGACATAAAAAAACAACCACAACAATCAACCACATATCAACCACAACCACACCCTACCTACCATGACATCGACGTCGGTGGCGAGGGGTCCGGGGGCGTGGATGACCTCCCCCCCCTCGGCTGGTGGGCGTGGGTGGCTGTAGTAGAAGCCCGTGCCAGCGCCCATGTACCTGCCCGGAGGCAATACGGCCCAATTGCCGTTGATAATGTATCCTTGGTCCGTCCTTATGGCTGGTGGGAGGGAGATGGGGAGAGAGAGAGGGAGAAGGAGAGATTAATTAATGTTTGTTTGTCTGTCTATCTTTTTTTTTTTTAGCTATCTGTCTTTGTATCCTTTTTTGGGTTTATTTATTTATTTGTTTATTCATCTGTCTATTTATCCATCTATTTATCTGTCTATTTGTTCATTTATTTATCCATTTATCTATCTATTCTTCAATTCACTATTTCACTTATTTATAGTTATACTTATTCATTTACATAAACATGCATCTATCAGTATATCAGTTCCTTTATTTATCTATCTGCCTATCACTTTATTCAGTCATTTACCTTTTTATCTTTTTATTCATCTATCAATTAACTAATTAATTGATTTATCTATTCGTGGTCGGGTTAACAATCCCGCTTTAATGATAATTTCCGATTATATTATATACATTTTTTTTCTTGGCTGTGTTGTTCCGTTTTCGAATATACGTGGATTAGGAATATACTACTACGCTACATTAGGAATATTACTGCTGATACTATGAATATTTCTCCTTCTTCTTCTACAACCACTGCTTCTGCTGCTATTACAGTTTCTATAACTCACATACTGCTATTATTGCTATTAGTACTACTACTATTACCGTTTCTACAACTCCCATACTGCTACTACTACTACAACAACAACTACTACAACTACTACTATTACTACAACTACTATTACTACTACTATTACTACTACTACTACTACTACTACTACTAATACTACTATTACTACTACAACTGCTACTGCTACTACTATTACTCCTACAACAACAACTACTACTACTATTACTACTACTACTACTACAACTACTACTATTGCTACCGCTACATCTACTATTACTATTATTACAAACAATGACAGTGACAGTGTTAATGACAGCAGCAATAATAAAGACAAAATACGAAAGACAATGATAATAACAGTGACAATGACATGGCAATAAACCGGCAGTGACAATGATAATAATAAAAACAAGGATAATAGCAGTGATAATGACAATAATGACAAACATAGTAACAAAGACAATGACAATGACAATAAAAAATAACAGCAATAAAAAAATAACAACAATAATAAATAACAACAACAATAAAAATAACAACAATAACAATAACAAAGACAATAACAACAACAATGACAATAACAACAACAAAGACAATACCAAATACCAAAAACAAAAAAACAAAAGACACTACCGCCCACGACCACCGAACTCACCCAAGAAATTGGACGATCTGGTCATCTCGCTCACAGTCAGGTTGCACGCCCGTGCCGGCACCCTTGCAATGAGGTTGTAGCCCACAGGGAGCGTCGGGCGGGTGAATATGCCGGTGACGCGCCTGCAGGGACTCGCTCTGCAGGACAGGCACTCGTCCGCAGTCACGCCGCCCACGCCCATCGACGCCCATGTTGCTACCTGTTGGGAAAAAAGGGGAGGTGAGAGGAGGAGTGTGTGAAGATGGGGTGGTATGTTGGGGTATGTTGGGGTTATGTTGGGGTTATGTTGGGGTTATGTTGGGGTGGGGTGTTGGAGGTATGTTGGGGTGGTGTGTTGGGGCATATGTTGGTGCTATGTTGGGGTGGTATGTTGGAGGTATGTTGGGGGTTGTATTGGGGTTGTGTTGGGGGTGGTATGTTGGAGGTATGTTGGGGGTTATGTTGGGGTGGTGTGTTGGGGGTATGTTGGGGTTATGTTGGGGGTATGTTGGGATTATGTTGGGGTGGTGTGTTGGAGGTATGTTGGGGTTATGTTGGGGTTATGTTGGGGGTATGTTGGCGTTATGTTAGGGGTATGTTGGGGTGATGTTGGGGTGGTGTGTTGGAGGTATGTTGGGGTATGTTGGATTATTTTGGGGTTAATGTATGTTGGGGGTATATTAGGGTTACGTTATGTTGGTAATATGCTTGGTTAAGTCGTGTTGTTTTGTTATACTGTTATGTTGCTGGTATGTTCTTATATGTTTCAGGATATGTGATATGTGGTTATTGATTTAGTAATATGTGCTGTCTGTATGTTGTGCTGTGATGTGATATGTTGTGATATCAATAAGTTATGCTATGTGGTGCTATTGATAAATCATGTTATGTAGTGTTACTGACATGCCATGTTGTATTATTTTTGCGTTACTGATATGCTGGGCTATGCTGTGCTATTGATGCGCTATGCTATATTGTGGTATGTTACTGGTATGCTGCAGTATCCTATGTTATCGATATATCAAGTTATAAGTTTCATGCAATTCCAACCGGTATGTTATGCCACATTATCTAATGCACTATTACAGTCTTATTGAAATTTTATTATTAATCTTAAATTACGATACATCATCCCCCCCCTCTCTCTCTCTTTTTCTCTCTCTCTCCCTCTCTTTCATTCTTTCTTTCTCTCTCTCTCCTTTAAATGTATCTGAATATTAATACAAAATTACAATATATCACATTTATATTTGTTACAAAGTGAAAGAAAATGAAATTTCTCAATTAAAAAAAACACGCAGTTGCTTTTATGTTCACTACGAAAAAAAATGAACAATAAAAAATAACGAAAAATACATTTGCATATAATCAGATAAGCATATCGCTAAATGCATAAACGTACGAAATATGGTATAGAGGTTAATACACGCGCAGGATAAATTGTGTAATCTATCCCACAAGGTCATGTCATAGTTCACGTCACAGGTCATGTCGAATATCAAGAAGGTATCCTGTTCATGCTATTTATATAAAACAGTTGCTTTGGTTTACCCTATTGAGATATGCTTATATGTTTTCACGCGTTAAGGGCCCACGTGCATAAATTTAGATATATATGTACAACAGTCTGCTTCTCTCATTCTCTTATTCTTTCGCTCGCTTTCTTTCTTTCTTTCTTTTCTGTCTTTCTCTTTTCTTTTCTCTCTCTCTCTGTCTGTCTGTCTTCTCTCTCTTTCTGTCTGTCTGTCTGTCTGTCTGTCTCTTTCTCTATTTCTCTTTCTCTATTTCTCTCTCTCTCTCTCTCTCTCTCTCTCTCTCTCTCTCTCTCTCTCTCTCTCTCTCTCTCTCTCTCTCTCTCTCTCTCTCTCTCTCTCTCTCTCTCTCTCTCTCTCTCTCTCTCTCTCTTTCTCATTTCCATTCTCTGTCTTTTTTCGTTTCTCTTTCTTTCATATCCTTTCTTCTGTCTTTCTTTCCCTCCCTCTTTCTCTCTTTCCCGCCCTCTTTCTCTCTTTCTCTATCCACCCTCCCCCTATTCCTTCTCTCTTCCTTTCTCCCTCTCTCCTACACAGTGTGAGGTCCTCCCCCCGCCCCCCCCCCATTCGTATCTCCCGCCCACTGAGCCCCTTGCTGATAACACGGGCGTCCTCAGGTCTCATTAACACACCCCTACCGATGAGATAGGGCGCCATTTACGAGCTGCAGGTGTATTTCGGCGGAGACGTCTATGAGTATCGTAATCTGATAGGAGGGAGAGAGAGAAGGGGGGCTGGGAGGAGGGAGGGAGGGAGGGGAGGAGGGGAGGGGGGGAAGGGTGGGAGGGGAGAGGGGAAGGGGGTTGGGAGGGGAGGGAAAGGAAGGAAGGGAGGGAGGGGAGAGGGGAGGGGAGGGAAGGGAGGGTGGGGAAGGGAGAGGAGGGAGGGGAGAGGGGAAGGGAAGAGGAGGGTGAGAGAGAGAGGGTTGGGAGAGGGCTTGAGAGAGAGAGAGAGAGAGAGAGAGAGAGAGAGAGAGAGAGAGAGAGAGAGAGAGAGAGAGAGAGAGAGAGAGAGAGAAAGAATGAGAGAGAGAGGAGGAAAGGGAGATGAGAGAGTAGAAAAGTAGGGTAAAAGAGGAAATGAAAACAGGAGGGAACACAGGAGGGTAGACATAAAGAAGAGAGAAGAAGAAGAAAAAAAAAAAAAAAAGAAAAACACGAGGAAGAAGAGCAAAAGGGGAGAAGGAAAGAGAGGAAAAGCAAGCAGGGAAGAAAAGTCACAAGGAAAGAGGGAAAGAAAGGAAGGAAGGAGGGAGGGAGGACTAAAAAAAAATAGATATAGGAGTCATTCTCTCGCCTTTTATCGCCCTGCTTAAAACATCGGCTGTCGTGCAGAAGGAGAGAGCTGTGAGATACGGACATCGCCGGGGAAGTGGAAGGGGCGTGTTAATGGGGGGGGGGGGGGAGGGAGGGAGGGAGGGAGGGAGGGAGGGAGGGAGGGAGGGAGGGAGGGAGGGAGGAGAGAGAGAGAGAGAGAGAGAGAGAGAGAGAGAGAGAGAGAGAGAGAGAGAGAGAGAGAGAGAGAGAGAGGGAGATAGATAGATAGATATATAGACGGATATATAGATTGATTGATAGATAGATAGATAGATAGATAGATAGATAGAGAGAGAGAGAGAGAGAGAGAGAGAGAGAGAGAGAGAGAGAGAGAGAGAGAGAAGAGAGAAGAGAGAGAGAAAGAGAACGAGAGAGACATGGAGAGTAAAAGAACGACAGACAAACAGAATAAGAAATCAAGAGAGAGAGAGAAATAGAGAGAAAACTAAACGAAGAGACAAAAACCCCTTAAACGTGACCTCAGCCCACCTTTGACATGACTTCCCGAGGTCATGTCACGATAATGCCATGACTCTCAAGACTTGTCACGCTGCCATGTCACGTTCGGGAATTCGAAAAGCTATGAAAATCTTTTAAGAAAATCGAAAAGAAAAAAAAGAAGCTTAAGACTGACATTTAATGGAAATTTGATTTAAATAATTTCACTGGAAAATTGGAAATTGGAAATCGTTGATAAAAAAAGGGGAAAGAAAGGGAGATAAAAAAAATTATACTGATGATTTAGGAAAGAAAGAAAAACTGAATAATTAGAATGAAGAAAAAAGAAAACAGGAGAAAGAAGAAAAACAGGAGATATTGCATCCAAAAAAGAAAGAAAATAAATAACTAAGAAAAATAATAATTATAATGGCAGTGGTGATGATGGTAATAATAGTAATAATAACAATAATAGTAATAATAATTATAATAATAATAACAACAAAGCAACAACAACAACGACGATAATGATGATAATAATAATACTGATAATAATAATAATAATAATAATAATAATAATAATAATAATAATAACAACAAAACAACAACAACGATAATGATAATAATAATAATAATGATAATAATAATAATAATAATAACAATAACAATGATAGTAATGGAATGGTAATTAAATTATTCAATAAAAGGATGATAATGTTAAAAAGAAGAAGAACAAAAATAATGATAATAGCAATAATAATAAGAGTAATAAAGATAAATACTGTTCCTAATAATAATAATAACAATAACAATAACAAGGAAAAGGGTGATAAAATGATAATAAAAATAACAAGAACTATGAGAACAGTAAAAATGATATTAACAGAAAAAAATAACAATAATATAGACAACAATAACCTCAACAAAAAACGATAATAAGAAATAAAAATAGAAAATAATAAGAATAATGAGAAGAATAAACATAAGAAAAAGAAAACGAACAAACAAACAAACAGATAACGATAACAACAACAAAAAAAACAAACAAAATCTTTCAAGACTGGGATTAAAGGAGAGGGGGGGGGGGGAGAAATGATAAATGGGGGAGGGAATGGGAGGAGGGGAAGGATAGGGAAGAAGGAGGGAGGGAAGGAAGAAGGGAAATAATGAATGGGGGGAGGGAATTGGGGGGAAGGGAAGGGGGGGAGGGGAGGGTAGGAGGTGTGTGAGGGAGGGAGGGGGAGGGAGGGGGAGGGAGGGGAAGGATGAATGGGGGAAGGAGAAGGTAAGGAAAAGGGGAAAGGAAGGGAGCGAGGAAGGGGGGAGGGAAATGAGGAGAATAGGGAAGGAGGGGATAATGGAATAAAGGATATCGGAAAGGGGGGGGGGGGGTGAAGAAAAAGGACAAGAAAGGAGAAAATAGATAGAAGGGAAAAAGGAGAGAAGAGGACAATATAAGAAGAAAAAGATGAGAAGAAAGACAGGAGGAAGGGAGACAGAAGAAGGAGGAGGGGGAAGAGAAAAACGAAAGGATGGGAGAGGATGAGAAGAAGAAGAAGAGAAATGAAGAGGTTAGAAAACACTGAAAAAGGGAGTTGAAAGGAAGGAAAAATAAAAGGAGAGGGGAAGAGTGAGAGGGAGAGAGAAGAGAGAAAGAGAAAGAGAGAGGAGTGAGAGGAAAGATGAAAATGGGGAAAAGCGAGAAGGGAAAGAATAAGAGAGGAAAAAAGAAAGAAAGAGGGAACGATAAGAGGGGGAAGAAGATATGAGGTAAAGGGGGGGGGGGGGGAACAGCTGTTAATTATAAGAAAGATAAGAGAGAGAAAAACACTCTGAGATGAGGTGTTCTTGAGATCCCGAGGAAGACGGTTGTGGGAAAGAGGAGGAGAGAGTGAGAGAGAGAAAGAGAGAGAGATAGAGAGAGAGAGA